ATATTTCTGGAACAACGAAATGGCACGTAGCGCTCGAAAGATCTTTGGCGGCATTCCACAACAAGGAATCTGCCCTTGTGTTTACATCAGGGTATGTTGCCAATGAAACAATGCTTCGTACACTGGGGTCTAAACTTCCAAATTGTGCCATTATTTCAGACGAATACAACCACGCCTCTATGATTCAAGGGATTCGAGATGCACGAACAGAAAAATATATTTTCCGTCATAATGATGTTGTGGACCTGGAGAATGTTCTCAGTTCTTTGCCTATAGAGCAGCAGAGCAGCCAAAAATTATTGCCTTTGAATCTGTTTATTCGATGAATGGGGCTGTGGCCCCATTAAAAGAAATTGTGCATTTAGCAAAGAAATACAGAGCTTTTACCTATCTTGATGAAGTTCATGGTGTTGGCTTGTATGGTGAAAAAGGAGCCGGTCAGGCTGAAAAGCAAGGACTCAGTGATCAGATTGATATTATACAAGGAACCCTTGGCAAAGCTGTTGGGCTCATGGGGGGGTACATTGCAGGACGTAAGCAAGTTATTGATTATATTCGCTCTTTTGCGCCAGGGTTTATCTTTACAACCTCTTTGCCACCAGCTGTTGCAGCAGGAGCTAGTGAGAGCTTGGAGATTATTCAAAAAGGGGAGCATTTGCGCCAAAAACAAAGGGAGAATGTTTTAGCGCTCAAAACGAGTCTATCGCAGGCGGATATCCCCTACTGAGACGGGGAAAGCCATATTGTTCCTGTCATTATTGGTGATGCCACAAAGGCATTAGAGCCTACAGACTGCCTGTTAAAGCGATTCAATATCTATGTGCAGCCAATTAATTACCCTACTGTGAGAAGGGGAACAGAGCGTATTCGCTTAACACCTTCTGCAATCCATACGCAATCAATGATAAAAGACCTTGTGGAAGCATTGGCTGTTGTTTGGGATGAACTTTCTCTGTCTCGTGGCCAAAGCTTAGCAGCATAAAAGAATACCCTGACTATAATTTATTATAGATGTTTTTTCCCTTGAAAAAGAAAAAGTTTCTTTTAACCTTTCCGTTCGTCAAAAATATAAAAATGGAGAGCAAAGGCAATGAAAAAATTTGTGGCAGTTGTGAATAAAAGTGGCGAAATTCCCAGACTTTTTAATGCGTTGGCTCATTGTACGACCGGTCTTGTTGGAGGGGCTGTTCAGGGGAGTAGAGAAGATTTAGGGCTTGTAACCTATGTGGATGCACAAGGGCATTCTTTCGACCATATTAGTAAATAATGATTGAAGGAGGATGGGAAGCACAGATTGAACGTACTAAAGAAAAAACCTACGAAGATCTCTCTTTTCTATGTGTTGCAGCTTTTGGAGAGGCTTCAATTATAGATCCTTTAACAAAGAAATTTTCTTTGTACCGTTAATATAGAAAAGCCCTGCTTGTTATAAAAACAGGGCTTTCTTTGAGTATTTTATTAAAAGTGATATTTAAAGCCTAAAGAAATCACAGGATAAAAGCGAATATACCCCTTGTTGATTCCGTTCGAGAGGTCGTTTTTAAGCAGTTTAAGATCAGCAAGAATTCCTTTTGCCGCCCCTGTTAATTTAATGTTGGAAACTTTAGGTTTCCCTTGAAATAGGACACCAGCTTCTATGTTGACGCTCCACTTTCCACCGTTATGCATAGAAAACTGTCATAACCAAGCCCCAAATAAGGAGCAAACTTATGAAAAGCTATAGATATTGTTGCTGTGCCAATATCTCCTATTGATATAGAGATAAGAGTTTTTTTTAAAGATTGATTTTAGATCGGAAAAGGATCTCTTTTTTCTTCTATACCTTCAGGGTCTTTGTGGATCAAAATATCTGCCATAGGGAAAGCTTTTATAAGGCTTTTCGTGACCTCATCAGCGATATCATGGGATTTTCTTAATGTAAGATCTCCATCTAATTCTAAATGCAGCTGAATAAAAATATGCGTGCCTCCATTTCGAGTGCGCAAATCGTGCAGCCCTTTTGCTTGAGGGTGTGTTAATACAATATCCTTAATCTTATGACGTATTTCATCGCCTAATTCTCTGTCCATAAGAACACTTAATGTTTCACGAACAATTTGAACGGCTGTCCATAAAATATAAAAAGCTATAGTACCTCCAACGAGGGGGTCTACCCAAAGTAAACCTGTATACTGATAGGCGATTAATGCTCCCAACACGCCAAGGTTAATAAGAAGGTCGCTACGATAATGAATGGAATCAGCCTTAATTGCTGTGGATCGCGTTTTTTTCACAACATGATTTTGAAAGGTAATTAAAAGGGCTGTAAGCACAACAGACAAAATCATGACCCAAACACCAATTCCTGATTCCTGAACAGGTTGAGGCGCCAAAAATCTATTTGTGACTTCCCAAAGGAGCCATACAGCAGAGCCTGCGACAAAAACAGATTGCCCTAAAGCGGCAACAGCTTCAGCTTTTCCATACCCAAACCGATGTTCTTTGTCTGCAGGTTGTTGAGCTTGTCGAACAGCAAACAAGTTAATCATAGAAGCCGCAGCATCGAGAAGAGAATCGATTAAGCTTGCTTGTAAACTCACAGAGTGTGTGACCCACCAAGCGCCTAATTTAAAAAGAATCAAAACCGTTGCCACACAAACAGACGCAAGAGCCGCTCTGCGGACAAGGGTATGACGGTGGTGAGGCATGAAAAGGCTGATCCCCCGAAGATCTAAAAAGTATTTATCTATGGTGGCGGTAAAGCGCAAAAATCTCAAGAAAATTTTGCGAGGGATTTCTACAAAATGTTGAACATAAATTTTGTCATTTGTGTTTTAAATGTAAATACTCGAAGCGGTATTATCCATAGCGCAAGGCCTCCTCTTTTTATGCATATCATTATAAAAAGTCTGAGTTTTGAGAGGGGCTTTTTGACTTTTTAGGATTTTATGAAGCTGTTATTTTTAAAATTTGGCCGCCACATCACTATAATCCTGGAGAACCTTTAGATTACGGAAATAAATTTAAAGTAAAGAGAGCATGCCTTAAT